CCACATAAGTCCATCTACTACGAATAAGGGCCCCTAAATTCAAACTTAACCTTATTTCCTAATTTTCGAATTGGTTATTTCTAAAATGCTATAAAATCGTTCTCGTGTGCCTGCATTAGTTACATGAAATCAACTTAGTATACTTATGAGATTTAATTACTTTTTCATTTTGTTTTTTTTAAATAGTTRTCATTTTTTTTCACAAGACATGTCATAATTTTCTCAAGCYAARTAATAGTTTAGAGCCAATGAAATTAAAACAAATAAGCAAAGTTAATAAAAACACTTCCTTTTTAATTGTAAGGGGATACTGTGTTAAAAAAAAAACTTGACGTCTTCAATCTTATGTTATTTATTTTCACGGATGATCTAATTTTATTTTCTATTTTTGTGTTTCTTTAAATCAGTTATAAAGTATTAAAGAATTAAAAATAATACAACTAAAATATGAGGATAAACTCACCAAGATTTGTAAAAATAGATTAAAAAACAATACCAATTCAAACATAATAGGAAAACTAATATTTAAAAAAAAAAAATTATTTTGCATCAAATTTCTCAAAATTATTTGATTTAATTTTATGGGTGATTTAGTTTTGTTTTCTAACTGATTCATTTTTTATGAGTTATAAAATATTATATTAAAAACTGCATATACGCAGATCCTTAATTTAGTTAAAAATATAGAGAAACTCAACTTAATTCTAAACTAATCATTTCTCTTCCTTTCTAATCGAACAGAATTGAATAATAGACCTATTAACAAAAAAGAATTGAAAGAAACTAAAGTTTCCATAAATTTCGTTAAATACACCAGATTAAGAAATATATTAAAACTTCAAGAATTTGAGGAGTCAATCATTTTCTTACACAATGACACCAAGATAAAGAAAAGCCAACAAAAAGTATTGACAAAATATATAAAAAACCCAAAAAGGCAAAAGAAAAATATAATAAAATCGAATATTTACTGTATGAGCCAATCATACATCATTCTCTTGTCTTGCAGTTCATAAGAGAGAGGTCAC